GAGTTCCAATCATTACTCCACTTTGGATCAAACCCTTGCAAGCAATTGCAGAAAGGCAAAGCTTTCTCATTGCAGCTACCAAATGCTCCACAAAAAGCATAAACCTTACACTGTTGTCTATGTTGTGACCAAAGCACATTCCATTGCTTGCTGCTCTCCAACCATGACAGCTGCTTAACCTGTCCTGAAATATCCAGAATAAACCTAGATATGATGGAAGAATCATAGAGAGAATAAATGAAATAACTTTCATTTTCGTTGGAAACATGGCTGAAATTGCAGAGGTAATTCAATCTCATATCAGGATCCAAGCTGGAGATATTTCGATCCCAGAGTCCAGTAGTCGAGTACTGTACAGACTTGTTCCACAGTATGTCATCAAATTCAAGAGAGAAGAGCCCGGAAGCAGGATCTTCTGAATTCTTCCATGAAGTAAGAAGCTGACTTTGATATGGCTCAAACATGAATCCGAACTTCATACCAGGAAGCCATGTATCAGCAGGAAAGTTAAAGCTTTCCCATAAATTGGAGGTAGAATTAGGCCTATTTCTCAAAACCAAATTCCCATCATCCCCAAGAACTGCTTTGATTGAACTAGACCCGGCCACGCTGATATTTGTGGACCTAATTGGAAGTTGGAATTCATTGAAAAGAACCAAATTTCCATCAGAAATCCTCAAAACAGAAGAATTTGCATTTCGGACAGGTTTCTCTCTATTTGCAACCCAAACTATGGTCTTTTTAGACACTTTCTTGTACCATATGCCTATGTAGTACTTGGGGGAGTGACCTGGTTTGAAGAAACCCAGTTCAAAGACACCACCGCTGGAGACAATGGTCTGGTCACCAGAGAGAGATTGGTTGCCGGAAATGGTATCAGTCCCGGAGGAGACATGGGAGTTGAGAAAGAAGCCGATGAAGAAGAGTAGACAGAGCACCCACCATGGATACGTGTTGCCTTCCATGGCTGGAAACAATATCAATATACAATTAACAAGGGAAATTTGGATGAACAAGAATCTGAAAACAAGATCAAAATAGAGAAAAAGGGGTGTCAAACTCTCATATCACTAGGCATATCATGTCATGATTCATCCGACCTGAATGTCTAGCTTTTTTGTGACTGGTGAGACGTTTTTAACAAATGGAGTCAACTAATCGTGTTTTTTGGTGTGAGCGTGAGACGTTTTTAACAAATCACGAAGGTTAGTCGGCTCGTATTTTTTGGTGTTAGACGTTTTGAACGAGAAAGTCTTGAACACCGGTATCAGAAAGTCTAGAATATCACCGATGTACAACGTTTTGACGAGATATCCCGGATCAATGAAAAAACAGTATGTCAGCTTTATATTAACATGTCAGGTTGCTGACTAATTGTATAACGGAGGTGGAATTTCATGAAAAAACTAAAACCACTGTTAAAGTCATTCACGAAAAACTCCAAGGTCTTCACGCCAGCTTACAATATAGGATTATTCTTAACAGAAAATAATTACTAGAACAGTACAATATAATATATTATTATATAATTTAATTTTTTAAATTTATTTATAAAAATATATATCTATTTAATATCATATTATATTTATTTAATATTATATATATATTTTTTTTTTGAATAGGAGAGAATGTGAGGAGAGAAAGGAGGTTGCACATTGTAACTTTGAACTCTGACCAAAATCATGAGTTTAAATGCACCTGACTAAAGTAACCGAAGTTACGAGTGCTATTTATTTAATATTATATTATAATTATAAATTTATAACATTAAATAACATTATATTTATAACATTATATTTATAACATTATTTTTATTCACGCCTATCCAATCTTCAGTTTATTTCTGTTCCTTTTCCCATGTTTAACATTCCATTCCATTACTCAACAATTCAACCCCTCCTCTTTATTTTTTTTTAAAGCTTTGTTTTTCCTTCTCTTATCATTATAAGGAATTTCAAAGTCTTAGCTTAGACCAATTAAGCAAATTTTCATTTTTCCCTTCACTTTCAAATTGTAATATTGTATCATTTAGTATTAATCTTAATTATTAGTTCTTGTTTTTAAAGTTCATTGAACAAAATTTAGAACTAAATTTACAATGATTCTGGTAGTACAATAGAACTAATTAGATTTGAAAAGAACTAGTAAATATTATCAAATACTACTTTTGAAGAAAAATACTATTAATCCATTCAATTAAGTTGTTTCAAAATAATTTAGAACTCTGTTCAAAAATTTCTCCCTTAGTTAATAATTGTTTGTGCATATTTTTCATGCACTTGTTTTTATCGTACTAGTGATAGGCAGTACTTTAGTTCAGTTATGTTGTATAGATGGTAGAGTAATGACATGCAAAAAGAGATAACTAAGATCAAATACGATGCGATTTTATTAATAATGAAGAATGCTTGTAGTTTTACTACTCTATAATACAAGGCAAATTAATGACTTTTTTTTTAATTGGCAATAAACTATTTATTTATTTATTATATTGAGTATAAAGACAAAGGGTACTCAAAATATTAACAAAAACATTAAAGTTCATAGATAATTAAAA